ATCAAGATCTGCTTAAAATATTTTGTAATATTGGAGTATATATATTTTTTTATTTGAGACTGAGAGAGTGTGATTGTAATTGAGTAACTTAGGGCACACACACACACCGAGGGAGAGTTAAAATTCATAATTTTCTTAAAACTGATCATACAGTACGAATCATGTTCGTACGGGATGATCTGGTCAATCAAACTCCTGAACGAGCAAAAGAACGAATAGAGAGGGTCAAAATTTTTTCTAAGTACTATTCATCCAGATGATGTTTTTCATTCATCCTAGGATGATGGGCTATGGATGCATTCATTCAAATGATATTTATCATATGTCCCAGGATGATGCTCTCTAGATGCATTCGTCTGGACGATAATTATCGTTCATCCTAGGACATTGGACTCTATAATTGCCAAAATGAACTTTTCGTCTAGTCGGTGTTTTTCATTCGTCCCAAGATGATGGGCTCTAGATGCATTCGTTCAAACGATAAAAATCATACAACCCAGGATGATGCTCTTTGGATGCGTTTGTCTAGATGATAATTATCATTCGTCCTAGGACGATGGGCTCTGGATTTGCCAAAATGAACTATTCGTCCAGACAATAATTATGGTTCATGCCAGGACAAACTTCTATATTCTGGAAACTTAAAATTCATCCTACTTTGTCATACCAACGAACTTCGAGAATAACTGTTCGTACCGGATGACCCATATTCGTACAGTGCGATGATCGGGTACAAAGGCAGTTCATACCAGTTCACATTAAGTTCGTACACAACAATTTTTACATTGTTCGTACATACAAAATTGGATCGCATGGGACGATTGTGGATGGTCAGAAATTGAAAAATGCAGTTTTTAGATGATTTTTTGTGTCTTTTTTATAAAAGGTCCACTTAAGACTGTCATGCAATCTTTTTTTAATTTGGTCTTTGTGCATACTGAAGGGAAATTGAAGGAGAGAGTGAGAGAGAGTGTTTGAAGGAGAATTCTTACTATTGAAGCATGAAGGGTTCACTTGCTTACTCAAAGGTAAGGATCTCTGTTTGTAATTTGTGACTACTTCACTCTTTTCTCTTGCCCTTCTAGATTTCACTTGAGAAAGATTTTTCAAGAAGATTCGGTTCTCTACCGACACTCAAGGAGTGTAAACAGCCGATGGTTCTCTGCCTATACTTGGAGAGTGTGAACAGTAGAAGGTTCTCTGTCTACGGTACTCTGCCTATACTTAGAGGGTGTAAAAGGACAAAGGTACTCTTCTTATACTTGGAGGGTGTAAAAGAACGACGGTACTCTGCCGCACTGGGTAGTGGTGGAAGAGACTTTTTGTGAAGGCTTCTTCGCCTTGTTGTGGGGGCAAAAGGAGAGACACTAGTTGTAATAATGCAATACCTGAAGTAGGAGACTTCAGGGAGTGGATGTAGGTTGTGTTTGACCGAACCACTGTAAATCTTGTGACTTTTATTTTTCGCTGCTTTATTTTCTTTTTGTATTTATCTGTGGTTGAAAAATCATTTTTAAAATCATAAATATTTAATTGGTTTAAGAAAAGATTTTTTAAATTACCAATTCACCCCCCTCTTGGTTAGCCATTGGGACATAAGTTTAGGTCTAACAACCTAATTCATAATTAACAAGTTTCAACACAAGCGTCTTAGAAGAAGAAGGCCAACCTCCCAAGATACACTCGCGTTCCCTCCATTTATTTTTAAAGAAATCCATAAAGACTTCTTCAATACTATGATGTTCTTTGATAAACAATCAATTATTATCTCTTACTTGATTGATTCAATTTCCATTTCTTCTAGACATGGCATACATATGGAAGAACTATGAATTAGAGTCACCATTCTTCAACTATTACACTTTCACTCGCTATTTCCACCAAGTACTGATACGCCCAAGAGTCAAATTAATTTCACTAACCTTGGACCTCATCAAGAGCAATTTCTGGTCTGAAAGACATCCTTCAACAGCTTCTTCTTCTTGTAACTCCAGAACTTCCCTTTTTAAACTATCCTCCAGGTCAATTAAGTTCTTGTGCTTAGCTCTGCTAAAAAAAAAGAAAGCCTTCAGCGATCTACTTAATTTTTTATTCAAAATTACTACAGCATTGCCTCCAACGTGTTTTTTCCAAGAATACAACACTACTGAATGCGAAGCAGGATAAGTTGACCAAACATCTTCAACCTCTCCTCCTCCTAAGCCCAGAAGAGAAGATTTTATTCATGATAGGGTAATGGTCCAAAGCTATTCTAGCCAAATACCTCACAATTTCCACCTTTAGAAAGTTTAATGCAACACAATTGAGGATACATCGATCAACCTTTCTAAGATCCGGGCACTTCCAGTGTTACACCATGTGTATTTTGGACCAAAAAATCATATTTCATGAAAATCGCAATCTCTCATAAAAGAATACATATCTTGAGGCCCTTGAGAAAAAAATAAATAAATTTCTTACCACCTCTCTTCTCATCTTGAGACAATATACAATTGAAGTCTTTTCCAATAAACATAGGAAATCTTGTATCTGTAAATGATTCCAGGTTACTCCATAGGCTCCTTCTATTGCAACATTCCCTACTTTTATATACCATAGCTATCAACCATATCCCTTTACTAGCAACATTCAATTCGTCCACCACTACTTTGTTGGATGCATGAACTACTGAAAAAGAAGCCAAGTCCAACCTCCAACACACCATAATGCCACTAGATAAGCCCGCTGCAGGAAACAAGAAAAAATCTCACATATCACCTTGAAATCTTTTGAATTCAAAAGGAACTATAGATGAAATTTTAGTTTCAACAAGGCCCACAAAAATTGCATCATTATCCTTCACAATCTCCTCCAAGTACTGGGAGGCTTCAACTTTCCTAGCCCCCCTACAATTCCAAAAAATTATAAAACTCATTTAAGACTAGAAGTGGGATTACAACCACTACCTCTCTTCTTAACCAAATCACTCTTCCTGTTTTTGGATGGTAAGCTGGCATTACCCAAGGACTTAAGCTCTTTTTGTAATTTGAACTTTACCACACTCGGATTGCCACCATTCTCCTTAACAGGTGGACCTCTACACTCCTTTACCTCCTCAACCAACTCTCCCTCTTCTCTTTTAGCCACTGTAGAGTTATTCATAGTTTTTCAACTGAGCCAAGTACCATAAACATATTCTCCTCCTCATGTATAACATGATTTAGAGTCATCCCTTTACCATTAGAAGCCTGCTTAGAATCTTGCATCAATTGATCTTTAGAATTAAGGATCCTCATGTCATCTGGATTCATATTTATACCCACTTCTTCATTGGAATGATTAGCAAAAGAGACTTCTTTCTCATTAATTACCCCCAAGGCATCTGAACATTCCACAGAGATATTCTTCAAGTCCAGCCCATTCCCACTCTTATTATTATGTTGAAATTTATTTTCAACCATAAGAGTTCTAACCTTTTGAAGTCCTTTTTGATTGCCAGCAACTCTACCTTTCCTTCCATGGTTGATAGGTACCAAGGATCATACTCAAGTCCTTTGTCATCAACAGACATTTGAGACTTCTCAACACCAGGATTATCAGAATCAGGATTATACATACCCACATTAGCATCTGGAATTACCTCCAACTTACATTTACTAATCATGTGAGCAATTCTCCCACATTTGAAACAAAAAGTTGAAACCTTCTCGTATTCAACTTTTTGAAAATTTTTGCCTTGTCTTCCTTTTACCCATACACCCAAAGGGATTTTTTTGTTTAAATCTACATGACAAACCCTTGCAAATTCTCTTCTCCCCCACTGGAACATATTCCCATCAATCAAAAGGGCTATTCCAATTAAAGACAATCCTTGCTACATTAGTCTCATCCCAACATAAAAGAGGTAAGTGTGGCAGCCTTACCCAGATAGGAGATATCTATCCCTTCAACGATGTAGTAGAAAATTAAGGAATCCATTTATTAATGCCCACTATATGACTACTAACAAACCATGGACCACCTGACAAAACACTCTCCATGGATTCTAAAAAAAAAAAAACAAACATAAGACCCAACCAAAACCTAAAATGGTTAAATGGAACTTCCCAAATTGAGTCCACTGTCTTCGTAATTCCTAAGCAATGACTTGAACATGTATGTTCTTTCCAAAAACCTTCAATACAATTGAAAACTTTAATTTTTCTAAATTTTCTTCAACACTAGGTTCATGTAATTTAATAGCAAAACCATCCTCAGTCATAATAGAATCATCCTTGATAAAATTAACTTTAATATTAGGACGCCTATTCCACAGGGTCAGTGGTCTTACTTAATCAGAACCGCCATTAACTTGCTTCACCATTTCTTCAGGAATTATCTTTTGAGCATTTTTACGAACATCAGAGGGTCATCAACACAATTTGAAACCAGAGGTCTTTCTGTAAGGTTTGGCATTCCAAATATGTTAACAATCAACTTCATATTCAAAGAAGAAGAAGCTTCAAAATCGTTGAGTTTCTTCCCACCGGAGAAATTGCTAGAAACACGAGGAGTTTTAATTATCAATTATTCATCCAATTGTTTTCCTTTACCCATAATCGACATTACTATCTTCGCAACAACAGGAGATGGTTCTTTTATTGTCAAAGCACTAGACATACCAGATTTCTTCCGATCAAATTGACAAGCAGTTAATTGAGAATACAATGGAGACTGAAAGGAAGGATTCCAACGACTGAAGTAGGTCACTGAACGTTTCGCCATCAACCAAAGATCTGCCAACGAAGGAGGGAAAACAAAAGTAAAAAAAAAAAAAAGAAGTTTCTCTTTCTAGAAAACTATAGCTTCTCTCTCTAAAAGATAGAGCAACATTATTTGCCTCATTTACCATTACAATGTTTGTCAACAAACAGCCCCTTAGGTATAATTTAATCATTTGTATATGATTTGATCTTTGAACAAATATATTGAAGAAATAGAGTGGAAGATCAACTTGAAGATTTCGGGTGTTTGAATTGGAGATGGTTGAAGGTGACCGATCATCCAAGGATGATCGGAACACCAAAGCCGTTTTATATACCGTGAGTCCAATAATGTTGGATTCAAAAGGTAGATTCTCCTTCAAACGCATCTCCCCTCACAATTTTCGGATTTTAGAATCTCCTCTTGTGATCAAAGAAGGAGGTTTGTTGACAGAACACAAGCCATTGCCGGATTTTAGTAAAGGAAAAGAGGTAATTCCTTATAATTTACCTTCATCTCCTTTACCAAATTCTTTGTTTGTTGCTAATGACAAAGAAGCCTCTTCTTCAAAGAGTACATTTGTTGATATTTTGAAGAACAACAAGGATATTGACCTCAACATAAAGATTCCTAATTTTTCTTCAAATTCAGATAATTCTATTGTGTGGATCAAAAAACCACACATTAAAATCACTTGGAATAAAAATCTTGATAAGTTTGAAGATTCTAATGTGGTTCAACTGGATATTGAGAAGGAAAAATCCAATATGCAAGTTTTGAACAAATCTTTGGTGGTTAAAATCCTTGCAAAAAATGTTCCTTTCTCTAAATATTCTATTGAACTGAGAAAACAATGGAAGAATTATGGAGGATTTCATATTACCATACTTGGTCTAGATTGGCTATTATGTTCATTTCAATCTCATGAAGCCATAGAAGAAGTCCTCAATGGAGGACCTTGGTTTGTAGGAGGTTTTGCAATTGGTTTAGACAAATGGACTCCTAAATTCTCCCCTAGTTCATTAGAGGGGGTTTCTTCCCCAATTTGGGTTCGTCTTCCTCACCTACCCCTTCACTGCTGGGATGAATCCAATATCACTAGAATTGTCTATAGGATTGGAACTCCATTACTACTAGATGGCAATATGTTCAGGTGGGGAAGAAGAGAATTTGCTAGAGCATGCATCCGAGTTAATTTGAACTCTAAACTTCCTACTGGAATATGGGTTGAAGGGTTGTATGGTAGATTTTTTCAAAAATTTGAATATGAAAATCTATCTTCACTTTGTTACAAATGTGGAAGAATAGGACATATTGAATCAGTTTGTCCTAATGAGGAAGAGATTCCATCCATCTCAAACCATAGCATTAATCCTTATGGCCCTTGGATGCAAGTGAAATTCAAAAACAAAAAGAAATCATTGAAAAACCAATTCAATGCCAAGGGTATTTCAGCTGCAGTAAAATCTGGATCAAGTCTTCCTATTGAACCAGACGGTATTACTCAAACATTGGCAGACGGGAATGGTTTAAATCAGAAGATAGATCAAGCTGAAGATGCAGATTTCATTCTTCTAATGGCTCCTCTAGTTCAAAGCATGTCTTATTCAAAAAACTTCAAACTTTGGGTCCGATGAAAGATCTACCTAGAAGGAAGATAACTGATCACAAAGAGAAGAACGGTGGGAAAGGTTCTTCTTCCCTCTTAGCCCACTAATATGAAGTTTGATTCTTCACTTGATAGCAACAATACAGAGTTATTTTTGAAGTTAGAGAATTTGATCTTAAAGTTTGATATAATTATATCAAACTTTTGGAATTTATTATTGAAATGTAATTTTAATTTTAGATTTAATTTCCTTTTTCTTAGTTTAATTTGTTGTTTTAACTTTGCCTAATTGTTTATGAGATTTTTACTAATTCTTATTCTCTAACTGGATGGGAACTCTGGGATACTAATTAACCTTCGAGTTGTCTTATATTTTGGTATCCCCTGCATCTCAACAGTTTTAAAATAGGAGTTAGTGGATTTCATTACAATTACAATAAGTTTAAAGTAACAAATTACATTTTAAATAAGATCCTTTTGTTGTTAAAAAAAAGGATCATTTAGTTCTTTCTAATAGTTTGTATTAGGTTATCTTTTTTTCTAATGCAAATTTATGCAATTTCTCAAAAAAAAAAAAAAAAAAAAAAAAAAAAAAAAAAAAAAAAAAAAAAAAACAGCCTTTAGTATTTCTAATATATTGATTTCTCTCTACCATCTCACAGAAATATTAGGTCACCATTTACGTAGTTCGTTTAGTATCAGGTCAGACGATGAGGATAAGTTCGAGGGCTGAAAGGTTGAAGATCGGCTTTCTATCACCAGTCTTCGCCACGTATCTTCCTCTCCTACACGTGCTGCTCTCTTCTCTTCTCTTTCACTCTCCTGGATTTCAATAATCGGTTAATACATCGACGAAGGAGCAATTATGCAGGAGCCGACATTGCAATGGATCGGGCAGATAGCGAAATCGAAGGGGAGCCAGAGGGCATGGGGAAGTCAAGCTGGTCCGCCGTCGTCCTGCGCCGTAGTTGGTGGATCGGAAAGAGGGTTACCATCGCTGGAGCTGCAATAACATCCGCGCCTGTCATAATCCCTCCCCTTTTCGTATTATCAACACTAGGTCTCGCCTTCTCCTTTCCTTTCGGAATCTATTTGGCCGGATACATGTGTACTGGCAAAATCATGAGCGTCCTACTCCCTCAGCCTTCTTTGAAGGAGGTCGACAAAGAGTCGCTGGAGTCGGAGGATTTGATAGAGACAGGGTTTGATGCTGACCAATTAGATGAAATGATTTTGGATGAGGAAAAATGGGAGAACACAGGGATCTTTGAAGGTGAAAGGCAAGAAGGCTTCTTATCGGAATTTGGGAACCGGAATGGAGTAGAGAGACCGGCCGTTGAATTAGGCGTTGAAGGCGAAGTGGAAGAAGTGAAAACTGGGAATGGGATTGTAGAGGTGGACGAGATGGGAAAGATTGTGGAGCTTGGTAATGATACAGCTGCTGTGGAGAAGCTAAGAAGCAACGATTTCGACTATTTCGCAGAGGTCAGAAAAGAAGTGCAACTGGGCGAAAAAGTAAGAGAGCAAGTAACTGCTCCTGAGAGCAGTGGATCTCCAAAAAGTCCTTATACTGTGGCTGTCATGGCGTCGAATGAAGAGAGTAATAATAAAGGGTATGAACCCCCAAACTTGAGCTCGGAACATGTTTCTATAGTTGAGCTTAGGGGAGAAGGAAAAACTAATGATACTTTAGTGACAAAAGAACTAAGGGAAGACGGTGGAGAAGAGGAAAAGATACTAAGGGTAACTAATAGTGTTGTGGCTAAAGACAAAAAGTTATTGGAGGAATGCAGGACTGAGGTTCCCAGATTAAAATCTGACTATGAATTGTCTGCCGTAATTGTTCCCTCGAAAGATGAAGATTTTGAAAATTTCGACAAAGTTGACTCCATGGAGCGCAGAAGTCTTGGAAGACCAGTGCCTGCTGCTCTAGTTGAGGTTGGTGTGACTGGTTTGCATTCTCACGATGACATCAGTAGTTTACAGGTCTTTATAATGCTTTCCTGCAGTTGTTTCATATTACACACTTCTTTTATTTTTAAGTAATTGATTCATCAAAATAATGGCAATATTTTTGTTTATCCTGTAAAGAAAGAACTCAATGAAGAAAAACAGGGCTGTTTGCCCCCTAGTAGGGTTTAACTAAATTTAGTAAATCCAGATTTAAATAATTTTATACTTTGGTTAATATTTCAGTAATTAAAAATTTATATTATTGAAATATTTAATATTTTTATTTCCTTTATATCAATTTTAATTATACTAATTAAATTATAATTAATCTCATTATTAGTTCAATTAATAAATAATTTATAATTTATTAAGTTAATTAAATAATAAAATAGAGAGATTAAATAAAAAATATGAAATAATTTTTGATAATAAATCTTAGTGAACTAATATTAGTTATTAAGATTAATTTTATTGTTTAGTCATGTATTTGATTGAATTTTAGTAATTTTAATTATTAATTTTTTTTAATTTTTTGATTAGGTGAATTTAAATTATAATTAGTAGAAATTAATATTCTAAATTAATCAGTAATTAGTAGTTTTTAAATTAATTAATATTATAAATTTAATTTAATTACGTCACAATTAATATTAATTTGCTTAAAACTAACATTTCTCCATGTTTAAAGAATTTAGGAAGCTGAATGAAAATGTTGCTACCTGCTATCATTTTATGTTTACGCAATTTTTTTATTTTGAGGCTTACGCCTCGCCTCACGAACGAAAAACGCCTCAATACCCGATTACGCAATTTTAAACATTGGTTTTTAATTATTATTTTTATTTTGGCTAAATAAATAATCAAATTGCAAGTATCTGTAGAGGACAGTGTACAAAAGTTCTCACATTCAACTAAATGCATTTTAATTTGATGGTAGCATATGAAAACATCTAGTAAGCTTATGACCTAGTAGCCTACTGTCGAGTCAACATGGCATAAATTCCTAGCATCGATTATCCATCCTTATGATATACTGAGTTCAAATTTGTGAAATCTACACATCCTCCACTGGCTTTTAGCTTTCTGGACCATCACCACATTGGAGATCCAGTTTGGGCATTAGACCTCCCCGATGAAGTCGGCGTTTATAAGTTTTTGTATTTCTTCTTTGATGGGTTGGGCGAGTATCGCTGTTGTCTTTTTGATTTTTTGTTTGATGGGTCGAGCATCTCTTCTCATATTAAATTGATGGCAAGCGACCTTTTCATTGATCCTCGGCATCTTTGTGGCCGCAATGCATGCAAATATGTTTAGGTAACCCCTAAGGGTTTGGATCAACTTGCTACTATGCTCCTCGTTGTTGGAGGCACTTATTTTGAGTCTTGCTTGACTCGCCCTCGACAGCAGGTATCTCCTCCACTGCTTCTATGGTCGCCAAGTTGAGACCTTGCTCCACATCTTTTTAGACTTTTTGTGTTGTGATCATCAACTTCCTTATTGCTTGCATGTACCAGGTGGATGATTGAATGAGGTCGCTCCTCACTATAATCTCGCTTCCCGTTGCTAGGAATTTGATTATGACGTGGTAGGTGGACACCACAACTTGGAAAGTGTTCAGTAGATGCTTGCCAAAGATAGCATTGTAGGTCGCTGGACATCGACGATGATGAAGTATGTCATCCCCATGTATTGGTGGTCCCCTTCTCCTTGGTGAGAGGTAGGGGGAGTATTCCTTTTGTCTCTTTTCACTCTCCTATGAAACCATGGAGAGGTCTTGTAGTGGGGCTGAGTTGAGAAGAAAGCAAATTAATTTTAGTAAAGGCAAATTGGAAAATAATATTTAGAAAATTTCTCGTGTTTATGAGAATACTATTAATCTAATAGTTGGTGACTAGGGCAGTGATGACTATTGCATTGTGCGGGTTCCCTCCAGTAGGTTTGTTCTCTTCGCAGAAAGTGATCGAAACGACATCCACTACTCGAGCTTACAAAATGGATGCTAAGTTCACCTCTTCAACCCGTATTGGTGATAGTGATCTTGTGAAGAATTAGATCTTTGGTCTTTCCTATCCTTGGGATGGAATCTTTCTCTATCTCTTCTTCGTTGCTCCTCTCCTCTTGCAATGTTCTCGTGTGGTCGAGCTTTTGACGAAGATTCAACCACTTTGTTAAACTCCTTTGCATTGACATGACTGTTAGCCAGTTCCAATAGTTTGGCGAGTGATTTTAGTTATTACATGATAATTGTATACTTAAAGGGGCCCTCTCTCAGTCCTTGGGTCAGTGCATTTGGGGTAACTATATGCTCTATATCCTTCACAACCAATATTTATCTTCGGAACCTCATTATTAAATTCCTTAGTGATTCCCTCAGCTAAATCCTCATTATTAGTAGAGCTTGCGATCTTTTCGCGGCTTTTGGTCGCTTGCGAATTGGGTCACAAACTTTCGCTTAAATTCGGCAATGGAGGTGATTACCCACAAGTGTGGGCAAGTAAACCACCTGAGCACCGACTACTTGAGTGTGGTGAAGAAAAGACAACACTTATCTATATCCAGCAAGGAAGTCATCGACTCGAAAGTCATCACATTGTTAGTGGGTTTAGTTTTGCATTTAGATGACTACAGGTAGGCATCTTGAATTTAGGAGGCGGCCTTGCCTCAGTGATTTCCCTAGAAAGGCATTCGTGAGTTCAGATTCATCTCTTTTGTTTTGCCTGACCAATAGACTGTAGTCTTTATCACTCATCCACATGCGAGTGTAGTCAAGAATTGGCATCGAGGTTAGTGCTCTCTAGGTGTCTGCGGCGAGCTTCTGTGTTTTTGGATCCCTTTGGGATGCTCTAGACTCACACTTGCCCTTGGAGGCTGCCGAAGGCATCTTGGATCGTCTTCATAATATGTTCTTCCATCTTTGGTAAGTCACAACGGATGGTGAATTTGACGGTCTCCATATTTATTGTGGTCTGTTGCAGGAGTTGCTCTTCAAGTTGGTCCTGTCTTCTTGTCGTTGGCTTCAATCCATGCTCACTTCACTTAAGAGGATGTTGAATCTAAATTTGTACGTGGATGATACTCGACTTTATTAGCAGGCCTACACAGTGAGATGGAATCTGCATGAATGAATGGAGAGTATAGAAAGAGAGTGGAGAAGAAGAGCTACTCAAACTAGTAGAGTATGCACTATCAATGTAAGAGAAATTTTGGTGTCCCCCAAATGCTCTTTGTCATCTCTTATTTATAGGATTCTTAGAGCTAGAAGAAAGGTTGCAATGAGAAAAATTAAAAAAATAACAAGCTACATAGAATACTTTTATAATGCTACACATTAATCCAGATATGTGTTGCCTCTTGATGGACTGGAGGAGGATGAAGTCAGCGGTCTCTTGGGTGAGCTCTCTATGGGAAAGCTTAGTGGTATCAAGTAAGCTCCTAAGGAGCCTGCAAGTGAGTCCTGGCGAGACATCGGATGTGGTTGACGACTTGTGTGGAAAGGAAATAATAGCTTACCTAATAGTTCATGGATAGTTTTAAGGAGAAAGGTGAGTTAGATTTGGTGAGCATGAAGAGTTCTAGGCTGGGCAATAATAGCTGAATGATGTGAGAAGTTCTCTATATAGCCAATTTATTGTAGTTAAGTTGGGCGTGCTTTAAATGTTCTGGGGGAGTGCCAGTGATTGCGGTAGTGGTGAGTGGTGGTTTGACAAGGAATCTTCAATTCGTTTTGTGCAAGTCAACATCTTTAGTAGGCTCAGATGAGTAGAGCTTGTCGATCTCCACGGGCGAGTCCCTCTTATAGTCCCAAACGAGTTCTCCAAAGGAACTCTTATTGAGGGCGAATATCCTTTTTATGACTCGGTAGCCATCCGTTAAACACCTATGAAGGTATTTATGGGTATAAACCTTTCAAGTTCCAATCGATGTTTGATCATGAACTGATGTACAGTGTTTCATAATCTTCATGCTAATGTTTTGGGTTTTCAATTAGAATTTTTTTGTAACATACCATCTATAGTTCACTCTAAGGGATTCCTAGTAGTGTCATGATACCACCATATATTACTTTAAAGCCTGCCAATATTAATAATTTATAATTATAAGCTTACCTAATTAGCTTTACGGTTATGCCCCCCTCCTGGTGAAATGATTTGCTTCCCTGGTACCTAGTCAAAGAGCTGTAAAACATTGAATATTCTTGATTATTGCTTGTATTTTCTCCTTTAAACATATTCTATTAATTTTATTTAATGGACTTGTTTTTGATTTATACTTTTACAAATAATTCCAGAGAACAAACAACGAGGAACAACACTGGGATCAAATTTTCTCATTGAGAGCTATTGTGGGTTACAATGAAACACTGCAGCCTTCCCTTAGGGAGGAAGTCATGGCGCTCTATCTATATATTGGAGTGGAACCACCTGTCTCTCTTAAGCACGCTACTGATATTGCAGAAATTAACAAGAACCTTCAGTTCTTGAAATCTGTTGTTGGAGTCAAGTGAATTGAATACTGCAAAAGCTAAAATTGTTGAACAAGGAGCATTTTTTTTTTTTTTTTTTTTTTGTTAATTATATTTGTGATTCTAAGTTCTTGGCAACAAATCTCTACATCAGTTGGTCTATTTATTTTGTGTATGTTCAATCATTCCGACGTCCTCTCACGGCTTACTATCAATATATTCCCTATCCGCATTAAGAACCTGGCAATTGGTTTATTTAATGCTTATCAATATGTTGAGGTCCTGCAATCTTTCACATTTTGTCAGAAGTCAGAACTGGTGTTTGAATATTTCATGATTTATTTTGCACTTTAAGCCAGCTGAGAAGTTTCGAAAGTGTTGAAGGGAAAATTCATGTTTCTTATTGCCCACTCGTCCTTTCCTTTATCCAGTACAAACCTAGGATTTGGATGACCCAAGGGCTTCAAATTGAAATTGATTTTGGGATACATCTGTGTTAGAATTTCTTGGCTTAGTTTGGATGCGGTATAGGTTGGTCTATGAAAGGTTAAAGCCGGCTATGTAAGTGAAATCCTTGGTAGACAGCATTTTTTTTATACACTGTATAGTGTTCTAGATCAACAACATTTTTTATTTTTTGGAGAAATCCACGGAGCAGCCTACGCGTTAATATAAAAGAAGGTTACAGGGTCCTCAAAGGAGACCTTCAGCTCGCTAATGCTCAAAAGAGTTAAAACAAAATTCAAAATAAAATCTAAGAGCCGATGATGCCCTACACTAAAAATAATAAAATAATTTAATAACAATCTAGGGTTGCAAGTAGGCAACACCCAAAAAAGGAAGATCATAAAAAAAGAATTCAGCAAAGAATTCCTGCCAAAAGTAGTAACGTTGTCCAAAAAAACCTCAGTCCACCGAACCTGCAAGAGAAAGTGACTGCAAAAGGGAAACAAACACTATAACACGAGGAAAAAACAAGTAATGTTGTAACTGGATATAAGTTGTGACCAATACGAATTTAAGTAAATAAAGGTGGAATACTTTCCAATAGAAATAAAGAACATCCACCTATTTTTGGTATTCTAAAAAACCTTATTAAACACCTTGCAGTCACAATTCAGAATGGTCAAATATTTACTTATACAAATGGGTAAATGTAATGAAATCACATGAACACATAACCAAATAAAGTTGTCATTCATAACCTGAGCTATATCAAGAGACATAACAATACTGCTATAAAATATATCCCTAAACAATACAAGCATAAATTGAAGCTGTGAGGTGATGAAGTTTCCCGGAAAATGCACATTCCGGAAAAAACCAAAAACTGGAAAGGTTCCAATCATAAGCACCAAACTCCTCCCAACCAAAGAGGAACAAACAAACCAACTCAATAGAGAAAAGGGGAATCATCCAAAAAGATGAAGCTGCAAATAATTAATAGAAGTGGTCGCATATAAAGAAAATGCCAGGCATTGAAATACCAATCCTCTCCCAACTAGAGAGGAAGATAAGTAACCATCAAAAAGGTAGATAGGAGAACCCATAAAATAAGACAACCAATAAAAAAGACGACTAGCTTCCCAGAATTGTTCAATTGAAGCAGACAGAGAGTGAACAATCCTCCATACGAAGAAAAATGGCCAAAGAATCAAACCCACATTAAAGAGATTAAGAGAAATCAGAAGAAACAAAAAAATATAAATACAGAAGTCATACATGAACGAGAGAGACACAAAAAGAAAACGAGCTTAATTACTTCTAACATAAGGCAACCCCAAACTGTCAAGCCTAGTTAAGCCAACAATGTTGATAGGAAGAGAAGACCCCATAAATTCCATAAACTCCAACAAATTGCAGCCTAAATTGGCTAAAAAATTAGCAACATAATTACCTTCCCTATAAATATGAGTAATAGAAAAATTGATAAATGAAAGACACTACTTCATTTCTTTGATGGTATAAAAATACGTGGGATTGTCATTAACTTTCTCAAGAATGTAATGAATGATCAATATAGCTTCCACTTCAATCCAAAGATTAGTAATCCCTAAAGAAATGCATAACTGGACACCATATTTTAAAGCCTCAAGCTCAGCCATAGTGGCATTATTGATAGTCAAGGGACTGGCAAAAGCCACATTAACCTGGCCATTATGATCCCGGATTAGACCACCATAGCTAGCTTTAGCCGATTTAAAAGACCCATCAGTATTGAGTTTATAGAAACCTTGATGAGGCTTGGTCCATTTAAAAAAAGTGTCTTTATGAAAATGAGCAATATACATAAAATTGATGCCAAACATCTAAGCAATTTGATGACAACCAGTAAAATAATAACTATTTATCAAGTTAGCGAAGTATAACTGTCTCACCTTATCTTAACCTTGAAGATAATGTTCGTGGCATTCATATCGATGTTCTCATGCTTCAACTCATTCCTACTTTTCTAAAGGAACAAATATATAATAACAAGTAAAATATTACAAATATGATTCTTAGGAGAAACAAACTAGTCTTACAAAATATTCTTAATAGTGTTATAGTCTTTACAAAAATAGGTATTAAAACCATTATAAAAAAACAACCAAACTTTCAAAGCAATATACCCATTAGCACAAACATAATTTAGAGTTTTCATATGATAACTACACTGGCATTTGGAAACAATGCAAAAACCCTTCTTGCAAAGAATAGTATCCACGGGCACGCAATTATTAAAAATTCTCCAAATAAGAATAGAATAAGAGATAGGAATTTCTTTTTGCCAAATAGAGGGTAAAATATGATTTTTAGGAAGACAGTCCCTAATAAAATGCCAAACTTCCTTGAATAAAAATCTACCATCATTGGATTTATTAAATACAATGCAAAGTTGAAGAGGAATTTTCACAATGAGAAAAATGATTGAATCAGGAAGAAAATCCGAAAGATAGTTCACATTCCAATTCCCATTATGAATAAAATTCGACACTTTACAAGCACTATTAGTATGGGTATTGAGCAAATTCTCAATGGAAGAGATACCTAACCAATTGTTTTGCCAAAAAAATATGTCATCCAAACCAAAACCCCATTGACTCAACTTTCAGCATCCCATTTTATGGAGCAGATCCTCTTCCAATTAAAAGAATAACCTTTTTTGAAAAAAATATTTAAGAGGATGCTTTCCAACAGAATATTTGGAAATTATAAATTTAGCCCATAAGCTTTTTTTGGATCTTAAATTGAACAACAACATATAAGTAGGGGTCTCAATTCGGGTCGATGGGTCGAGTTCAGGTCGAACCAGAGTTGACCCAGATCAAAACCGGTCAACTCAAACCTGACCCATTTTTGCAAACGGGTCGGATATTTCAACCCGGACCCGACCCGACCCCATTTAGTAGATTTGGCTGAAGAAGAATGAGCTGAGCGCCTGAGCTAGTCTCTGAGTGCGGGCGGAGTCACGTACGATAGCAGGCAAAGTCACGAGCTTGCGACAGCGGGCAGCGTCCGCGGGACAGCGCTAGTGCAGGGCCGTGGGCAAAGTCACGTGCTGCAGTGGGTGACATCACGAGTGTTGGTGGAAACCCAATATGGACTCAACTTTCGGGTCATTGTCGAGTTGATTTCGGGTGTTCAGGTCAACCCAAACCCACCCTATTTTTGAAATGGGTCAAAATCCAAACCCGAAACCTACCTATTTGCTAACTGAGTAAATTCGAACCCGAATTTTTTCAGGTTGAGTTTCGGGTCATGTCGAAAATTGACACCCCTACTTATAAGAAAAACCATGGGCCATATCAGTCAAGTTTTTAAAACCAAGCTTACCTTCATCTTGGACACCAAAGCATTTGTCCCAAGATGTCCAAATTAAAGTAGATTATCCTCTTTACTACCCTAGAGAAATTTGTTGAAAATTCTTTCTAGCCTACTACAAACATTCACAGTAGGATATAAAGTATGAAATAAATAGATAGGAATAGAACACATAACACTTTTGATTAACACTAATCTTCCACCAAAGAAAGAAAATTAAAAGCCCAAGTAGACAACTTTTTATGAATATTAGAAAAAATGTCCCAAAATAAATTTAGTAGTATTTTTTTTTAAATCTTTTTTTTATATAAAATCACTTTTGATCCCACCAACTCTCTCACAGACATTAGTAGTAGTATTAAAATCACCACCCACTATCCAAGGCTGGACAATATTAGAAGCAAATCAGTGATTTTATTCCACAAAATTCTCCTCTCAATCCTAGAACAAGAAGCATAAATGAAAGAGAACAATAGGAGAATTGAAGAAAATTAATACTAGTGTGCACAATTTGAGGGTAGTCATTCAAAATGCTTAGGTTAACCCAATGTTTCCAAAAACTCCAAATCTTATTAGAACAATTACTAAAGGACCAGTCAAAACCCAAGTAAATATGAATCGAATCCAACTTAGCATAAGAGGTTAAAGGCTCAAGTAAAACCAAAACATTAGTATTTTGAATCCTACATAAATTTTTAACTCTATCTCTAGAAGGGAGATTACCCACATCCCTAATATTCCAAATAATGGGTTTAACCATTGGAAGAAGATACATTAGAAGCTCGTGACCTTAGATGCTTGACCATCCAAAGGTTTATTATTTTTAATTGTCTTCTTACCAACTTTGGTATAACCCTACAACTCATTATTAGCATTTTGTTTATTATTATGGGATAACAATGAAACATCAGAAGTACCTTCGGACTTTCCTATTTTTGAAAAATCCTTATTAGGCACAAATTCTCCTTCCTCCATATGGTTATCCTCATCACCCCCTCATTCTCGGTTTGGTCCCTATTGACATGGTTTAAAGCACATTATTTTTGAACCAAAGCATCACCACTTTCACCAAGTTGCAAGTCATTCTCCTTGTTTTCAATATGGGACCCTTATTCCGTAAGCACGCTGGAAGGAAAAGTGATGTCACCTTCATTGTTTTGAATAATTAATTAATTCGTTTGGGCCATAATATGAGATCCCACTATAGATGTAGTAGCTAAATTAGCTTCCTTGTCAAAACTAGGATTGTCCACAGATAAAGCTTCACTGTTATCCCAAATTGCCATATTAACATTGTTGACTTGTAGATGAATAAGGCCATCCGAATCATTAGAATCATTCTTATTAGAATGACCCACATCTTTTTCCTCCTTGTTTCTTTTTCTAAGGTTAGGGTGAACCATATAAAATTCATTGATCGAATGATCGTGCGCCTTAAAATGAGAACATAAATCAAGAATATTTTCAA